GTTTTTATCCTGATAAGTGACACTCAATATTTTTTTTATTACGAGTTTAAGGATTTTTTATATGAAGGGTCGTCGAAAAGGGCAGAACAACGTCTGCCTGATCTGCTAGTATATATATATATATGTGTGTGTGTATATATAATTTATGTTTGGTATACATGGGTAGCATTTCGTATATAAAATGAGGTTTGTACTTCATGATGTCATTAAAGTTTTCAAAAATGACAGTATTATTTTTCGATGTTCACACAGTTCGACATAACTAAACGGTACTAGCACACACTACAAGCTTGAGGCGCGTGCGGGAGGTCACGTACAGAGAGAAACTGCTTTAAACCGGCCCGGCCAGTGCTTAAATTCAGGGTTGTGCGAAAAATAATAAGTGCCAAATTTTTTTTAAAAGTATAATTCGTATCAAATGAAATATAAAAAAGTGTAAATATGGTTTACGTAGATTTAAATCTTATCGAAATTACCGCAAGAGATGCCGCTGATTTTGTGAATAAAATTAATAATTTGGTTGATTTCTTAAACTCAAGTACACTGCGATCTCCTAATAAATGTAAAAGAGCTTTTCGATACGATAGTTATCAAATTGAATTTTTAGAAGAAATGCTAACATTTTTCAGGAAACTAAAATCAATAAGGAGTGATAGGCAGAAAGACGTTATAAATAGGATGAATAACATTCACGAATTTCAAGTGTCTATAAAATCTTTAATAAAATTTCATCAAAAATTAAAATTAGAAGAAATTAAATTAATTTATATTTACGAAACGTCTCAATAAAGATTGTCTCGAAAATTTCTTTGGTAAAGTCAGACAGGCGGGTGATAACTGCCAGGAGCCAACATGTTGTCTAGTTAGTATTCCTTCAATAAGATGTTTATAACCAATATCTTAGGGAAACCTTAAAATACTAATTGTGGATACTATTTCGATATTTTACTTATAAAAGCAGACGATTGTCGTATTTTAATACACCACCACCGCAACCTGACAATGTTACTGCCCCTGTGTTACAGTAGGAACAATTGATTATCTATTTGATTTACCAGAAATAAAAATGGTTTAGTCTATATGTCGGAATATTTATATAGAAATTGTTGTCTCGAACACCACAAATGTAAGAAAATAAAATTGTACGTTAATAGATCTGAAAAACCTACAAATATGGGAAAATATTCTTTTTCAGCCATTACAAGGATTTTAATAAATATAGTGTTCAATTGGATTTTTTAATAATACTCCCTGACAATTTGATCTCGCTTGTTGAATTGCTTGAGCGAAAATTTTGCGAATATTTTGACGTCGCAAAAAAAAAACAATGTAAATATTGGTAGTGAAATATTAAAACGTGTGTAAGATTTTATATTTGTTATGAAATGCGAGTACTTTCCAATAGATTATTTAAAAATACTTTACATTCAATTTAGAATTTACCATTTAATTAAGAACCGCAACTAATTGTTGAAGAACAATAATTATAAAAGTAAAAACATTTAGAAAACGTAGTTTATAAAAAAATATGATATCATAAGTATCTATTAAAATGCTGATAAACGTTTTGTTTATTTAGTTTTAGCCTCCTGTGCCAACCCTATCAAAATATGTAAAAAAATTGACAACTCCTTAGAAGCTTTGCCTCTGTACAGTTTCTTTACTCATGTGGTACTAGTACCTAGTACTATTATTTATTTTGTGTCGGTACGGATGCATGGAGTAGGATTTTAAAATCAAGTTAAATTTTAAAGTCAATTTAAAAATTAATAAATCTTTATTTTATAGAAATTGTATGACAGTTGCAGTTATTACGTCATAGCTTCTTGTATTCAAATAAACTTTTTTTTAGTTAGTTAAATGCAAACCACTAAAGTAGTAGCAGGTAAGTATCAAAGTCGAATTAAAGATGTAATAAATTGTATTGATAGTGTCGATTCGGTACTTTAAACAAACCTGTCATATTAATGTGATATTTCAATATATTTAAAATATAAAATGTATTTAAAAACAAACTATTCAAACAGGTGTTGCCAGAGACTGAATACGGGTCCATCTTCAGTTCAGGTCCATGGTATTATTATCAAATATATGTATATTATTGTATAGTCATGAAAGTTACTTAAGTATGCTAAATTTCAGCTCAATCTGATGACAGCAAGTACCTACTTCAAAAATTGATCATTTTGAACCGGGACGATTAACAAAAAAAGCATCTTAAATAAAAGCTATTATAATCGAAATAAATATTATTTCGATTATAATCCAACTATATTGAACCTTTACATCTAATGAGGCATAACTATGTGTTGCTTAATTTTATTTCATTTTTTATCTGTATTGTTTTAGTAAGTCTAAGTTAGAGCACGATGGAACTGTTATCGTCACCCGGTGTATGAAAGTCCCTTAATAAAATAAGAATTAAAAAAAGTTTATAACCTGTCAGATTTAATTATATGCAAATAGTATATAATCACTCCGTTTTACGTATACGTGATTAACCGAATTTAAATAAAACTACACTTTAATTTCTTTTTTAATGTTAGAGAGATATGGTAATTAAATTTAGTGTAATTTTAATAAAGGCATATAATATTTAAATAAAACGAGGAAAGTGCGCTAGACTGCGGCCGAATGTAGAATTCTACTTTTGTATTTTTTTTTCTCTGCGGGAGATGGGAGCGAGGCAAGCACCGCGACGTTCTACAGTTAAGCAGTTACGTTGTAATGAGTGACAGGTTGTAACTACGCGTTGTATAGTATCGCCGATTTGTGACACAGAACAGAACACTGTGATGGCCATCTAAAGGTTTTTAAACACAGGATAAAATGGGTTAATGCAGTTAAAGATAAATAAGAGACAATGTCAATATTTATAGCAGAATGCTTACACTTTTACGAAAACTGCTGTTAATAATTAATACATTGATAGCGTGATCATAAAACGTGTACGTGGTCTAGAAATATACGAATACACATTATAAATGACATTAAAATCTCAGAGTACATTACTTACTACTGATACATTACTTTATACTGGAAATTGAGATCAAGATTGAAAAGTGAAAACATGGCAAGTTGTTTTATCGTTTTTTTTTTCTATCATACGCTAATGGCGCTATTATTGCGTTGTTCTCATGTATAAGTCGAAATAGAAAAGCGATAATTAAACGACTGCAGACCAGACTATAGAATAATTGGAGCGGACCAGCCCGATATAATCCGCACTGAAATAGCGTAATTTTTTGAGAAATTTCTAAAGATTAGAAATTACTTTGGGTGTTTCACACTTCTTATCGTGATAGTGCTTTATACGTATTTGCTGTTTTGAATTAACTTTCTATAGCAACTAATATCAATGCAACAAGCGTTACTCACGGAGAGGTTTTACTCTGCTTTACCTAAGAATACGAGTAACATTACTTTTCTTCGAATTTGAAATGAAGCAATGAAATTGAATCAAATATATTTCATACCGTTTTAATATTATCCATTATTAAATACGCGATTTTCATTTCACTGGTCAAAATGGGAGTGAGTCACACACATAATGTGTCATTCGATTCTCTCTGCATAACATTTCTTTTTTACATAATAAAACATTACCGTTTCAGTTTGAACAACTGGACCATTCGCTTTACGTTTATAGTAAACCAACATAAATATTATATCTTTGTAGTGACGTTTACTATCTAACTTCTATAAAACATAAAGAGTTTTAAGTTTTACTATTGAGATTTATAATTCAACAATGCATGAATATGTAGAGAGAATAGGAATATAATTTAATACTGAGGAGACAATCCAATAGACTGAAAGAGTTTTTCGAAAATAATAATTACTGGTCATTACGTATCTTCGTTGTGACGTTTGAGTGATGGGCTTTTGATAATCTTGATCGAGGAGAACGTTAAGAACTCTTTAAAATGTCTCCTCTCACGAGATTTGATTAAATGATTGTCAAACGAAACATCTCGCGCTTCAACATCGTTAGAGGCATTCTTTCTTGCTGCTATCGTTTTCTCCCGACCGCAGGAGCTCTGTTTATGTTGTGGTTTTTGCACCGACAACGATTACTTGTTGTACACGCAACAATGAACGCGACTCTATTTCCATTTCATCCGTAATAGTATTCCATATTCATTTAATGGCATCATATTGCGTATAACTGTGTATTTATAAGTAATATACCTAAATATTATATATACAAATTAAATAAAAAATAAGTTGTCATACACACAATCGTGCCGTAACAAAAACTCTTATCAACAATTGACCTTATTTCTCCATTCCGCAGCTTTATATTAAGAAAAATTAATCCTTGAATGGAAACATATTTGTCCCGATATCCATATACAGGTAGGCTTTAAACCTTATAAGTAAACAAGTTTTAATGTGTGAGTTCGCACCGCAACCTTAATGGAGAGACGAGTGAACTCGCGTGGCGATAACACCGGTCGGCTTGCCATTTAAGATTTAAATATTGCATAAAAAGTATCGAATTGGGGTCGAACTTGCACCGCAACTATTTTAGTCTCGGGTTTTTTATTGCCGCGTGAGTTCACCTGTTATGTTTCGTGCAATGTATAATGCAATTCGCTTTGTAAAAAAAAATGTGAGCGAAGACAGTGAGATCATTACTTTAAATGTTTAAAAAAGAAAAGTAAGTGTGGAAAATATACGGGAGCGCATTCCTTTTTGAAGCGATACGCGGGGCACGGGAGTGCCGCCCGGCGCCCACGCGCCTCAGAATAGCCACACTATCTCGCTCGCGGTGGAAAATCGCTATGCACAAATAAAGTTACGCACCAGGAAGAAACTTAAGAAGCCTGCCAATCCCAGTCGCACAGCTATACCATTTGACTGCAACGGTTGGCGAGTATGTTATGGGTGTACTTTAGGCACATAAAGTTCGCAATAGCTGTGATAATTGTGAAAATTCGGCACAATGTTAAATAATGTTATGACTATGACATCAAAAGTAAAAAGCGGATACTAACATCGTTGCTGAGTGAGCATCTGATGAGTGTAGTGGTGCTCGGTGCGCTGTACGCGCTCCTGCTGCTGCACAAGATGCTCCCGTCGCTCAGTGTGCTGCTCGGTGCGCTGCTCGGAGCGCTGCTCGGAGCGCTGCTCCGACCACCTGCTTTGCTTTTCCATCACGCCGCCACAGCAGCACAACGCACAGAAAATAAAACTCTCACTCGACGCTACAGGTCCTTATCTTACAATAATGGTCGTTTCGACGGTCGCTCAAAAAGAAATAAATACGCCACTGCGAAAAACTTATTCTAGTCCACGGGTTCATTTAGCAGAAGTCAAGTCATTATAACCCAAGTCCAATAACCAAGACGTCGGTCGATTGCGAATAGTTAGCGGATAGTGGCGAGGCAGCCGAGCGAACGTTGCGCGTGCGCCGCGAAGGCGACGGCGGGGGGCGGTGCGACCGAAATACTACGGGTTATTTCGAGCGCGTGCCTCCCGCGTACCCCCTCCGAGAGCTCCGTCATCCCGACTCCACCTCCGCCAAGCAAAATCACCAGCAACAGCTTAAACCTACAATATTGGCCGATACGTTTTTTTTAATGGAGCAAAGGAACATGCGCCTTGCCTGATGGTATGCGTCGACCATCCATGAACAATTGCAACACCAGTGAAGTTGTAGGTGTGTTGCCGGCCCTTTAAAAAGGAGTACGCTCGTTTCTTGAAAGTCCCTAAATCGTATCAGCGCACTAAAATTGGTAAACGATGGTAAACGATTTGACAAAGAAGTCATGCGAGGAAGAAAACTAGTAAATCGTACAGCGGTAGATGGCCAAGCACCCAGATGGTGTAGATGGTATAATAAGTTTTATCGCGATGTACGTCGATAAATCCTTTCATAATAAAATAATTTGTCACCATTTTCTTAAATGGGATTTGTAGCGCTGCTAATCATGCTAGTGCCTGCGGGTAATAAGGCCAAATAAAAATCGTATTTAAAATAACCGCACTCGTCTCTTACAAGTTTGCAGAAACGCACCACCCGCATCCTGCCACCAGAGTAGCATTATCTGTCATAAGTTACAACCGCACTGCACCAAAAATAAAAATCAGTCTAAATAATTCGTAGAGTATGTTTTGTAATATTACACTTAGCAATCTAAAATCTTAAACTTTATGAATAAATGCTTTGTTTATCTTGAAGATTTGAGTTCCTACCTAACGTATTGTTTAAAAAAAATATTTGGTTTTTCTTAAATACTTGGTTGGCGGTTATTAAGGCCTACTAAATTTCACCATGGGCCTTATTATACTCCTGTTTCTTGTGTAGGTTTTTTATTTTAAAATGAATTTTATATAACTTTTAAAATATAATAAATGCAAATAAATCGTACGCTTTTATTATTACACTAATCTCATAGTCAGAAAAAAGCCTGGTTTCAGCTGTCCAAACCGTGCAAAGACAAAGTGCGTCGAAGAATTAAGGCTTTGACATTAGAAGCTATTAAATTATGTGTAAATTATTGGTCCTGCACCTAAGATCTCTCGGACCGTGTCGGATTGCGATTTGATGATTGTGGGGGAATAGAGAATGCACCTGTGCTTGCGCACACATTCGGATACTATAATTCTACACTGTGCTGATGATGGGCTAGTCTGTAATCTCTGTTGAGACTGGCCGCTGTGACAGAAATTTGGTTGGGAGGACACTCAACCCAACATTAAATCCAATTCTCAACTCAGCTCGAGACACAACCGTACGCACTGATGATAATCACGTGGAGTGAGTTTGTTTGTCAGTTTGCTCATCATTATACTAATGACTTTAAGTACTGTTACGCGAGGCAATTTATATATTATATAATTTTTCAGAATTTTAAGTCTTAATTGCTGCATTCGTGTGATTACTGATCACAAATATTAAATATATTACGTATAAATTGATTATTTGAGTTCGTTAAAGCAGTAGTCCTTATTATCTTACCATAGTAAAATAAAGCCTACTGGCAAGGTTTTTCGAAATGTTTAATTTTGTTTTTCTTTATGCGAATGTTACAATTATTCGTTTATACTTTATAGAAACTATACTAAACTAATGATTTTTATTAAAATCTATAGACCAAATTAGATATTTCTGATTTTATTTTCGATTTTCCCTTAGCTAGGCCTTATTACCCACAGGTACTTGACTCAGAATTAGTATTATGATTAAAATCTGGTTTTATTTGTAACATAACTTCATTAGCGTGTCGAAATGGCGCCAACGGTACATCTCAAAACTTTACATATTTCATACTTGAGCTAAGTCGCAGGGGTTGCTTTTGAAAACGACCACAAAAATTGACCTGCTAAATTACATTATTACTTGATCATCATTCATCTTGATCCGTTTCTGCACAGTATTTGATCTTGGCTGGTACGACCTATCCTATTCTGCTGGCTCTTGCCTTTTCTGCCTTCAATCATTACAGGACGTTAAACATACTACCTCATTCTCTACGTGCCATGTGCTAGCGGTGTAAGAGAACCCAAAACCCCATTTGGTACTCTGGGTGTCATTTTTTTATAGGATAGGGTGACAAACGAGCACACAGTCCACCTGATGGTAAGTGGTTGCTGTAGCCCATAGACATCTACATGTATCCTCGTTTACGAATCAAAATGCAGATGCGTTGTCACCTGTGAGGATTAAGATGGAATGCCTCGTTTCCAGTAAAAAGGGTCTCCAGTTCTCTACGCTTACCATACGAAACACAGCAGCATTAAGCTGCTATTTTACGCTGGTATTCTGTGAGAGTGTGATCCTTCCTCGGTTGAGCCAACCCATTCGTAAGTCGTAAGATTGTTTATGCCTTTACTAGACCTTTGTGTCCTTTCCTCACCCCGTGCTACGCCACTGCTCAGGGCCACACAGTGGACGCAACATTTCTCAGCTATGCTCTCTTAATTTTTACTTAGAAGTTAGATTTATGTGCGGCTTAGCGTTATCGTGATGACACGCTTCCATTTCTAATTATTAACTTAAGACGTTTTGTCTCTACTGTGTGCTTCAAGCTCGGCACCTGCCGTTGGTGGTTTTGCGAGGTAAAAGCTACATTGTTTCCATTCGTGTTTGCCTGTGTTTGTAGAATTCTTTACTTTCTTCTACATTTCGTGCGTTCTTATCGTAATCGATCAGTTTTTTAATAGTTCGGTGTGGTTCGATTTAAAAGAGAACCAGAAATAAAACAAAGTTACAAATTACTTGTCTAAACTACTAGTACTTCTGTGAACTCACGTGCCTCCAAAGTATTGTCAATTGCAAAATTATTATGTGTGACATACTTTTACAAACGGATTTAAACCAGCCGGTAATCAATTTCTTGTTTCTCGGCAATTTTCTTAATATTGATATATCACACTTATTCCACCACTTTTACAAGTATGATATCGGCTTTAGCAACTCTTTAACAGCTAAAATGTGCTGCACCTTTTACGTTAAAATTTACGGAATATTAATGTTTGAACCAATTTTATCAAAATAGAATAATTTAATTTAGTACAGCCATAAATAGGCAACCAACCGTATGATCGTACTATGACGGACTATACGGAACCGAGGATAGAGCTTTTTAAAAAAACACTATTTATTACATAACACGTTATAATTGAATAAAATTAACAACAAAGATTTGGTAAACTTATCTACACTATTCTATACTATATACTATATACTATATTTACTATATACTATCATAAAGAGGAAAGATTTGTTTATTTGTTTGAATTGAATAGGCTCCGAAACTACTAGACCGATTTGAAAAATTCTTTCACCATTAGAATCCTACATTATCCCTGATGAACATAGACTATGTAATATTTTCAAAAAGTTAGGGATCCGTATGAAAACTTCGTTAATGTAACCCAAGGTGTGAAAAAAATACCAAAAAGAATCCTTATATCGCGTACGCTTCGGAAACTATTGATAATAGAGCAAAGTAATGTACTTCAGTTTTATAGAGGATATCAATATGTACAAAAAACTCTGCGATACTATATGTTTAACTATTACAGTTATGTCATTAAATCTTTGTTAATTCAGCAACCGTCCGTCGTGATGTCTCTCTCGAAGTTCGCATGTCGCAAGGCGCAGATGCGTGATATACGCGGATGAAACCGCGGGGCACAGCTATTAATATATAAATAACGGTGATTTAGAATAATTATATGTTAAAGATTTAGTAAAGATATAGTAACGATGTATGAGACTGAGGCTTGAACGAGACTGACTGTAGATTGTTGATTGTAGATTGATGATTGTAGATTAATGATTGTAGATTGATGATTGTAGATTGTTTCGACGTTCGTCGGGAGATCGGTTATATAGGCTTAATGTTGCTGACGCAGCAGCGTGAAAGAGATGCGTTAACCAATCTCCTGACATTGACGGGGTATAACAGCCCTTCGCGGAAAACTGAAGATCGGGAAAATAGCCGAATTCAGAATTCATAATATTATATATATTATAGTTTATTTTATTGCTGCTGGGATTAGTGAATCCTCTCGTTGGGAAATGGAATAATTTTTATCATTATTACGAGTTTGAATTGGTACATTAATATTGGAATGTTTCTTAAATCTAGACATTATAAATTTTAAAAATTTAATACCTAGCTATAAATATAACTATAATTATTAATATGACAGAGGTTAATGTCATATGATGTATCCCGTATTTTTTCTGCCAAGGGTTTATTAATTACTAGTTTTTACCCGCGGCTTCGCTCGCGTGAGCTTGAATTCAGGAACTTCAAAAACTTAGTGTCAAATTTAGCAAAATTCTAAAAGCAGCTAAATTTTTTGAATTCTAAAAAACTATTGGGCGTAGACGATTGATAGTTGGCATAGATATAATATGCTACAGGAATACGTAAATATATATGTCTAGAAACACCTACTATTTTTTTTATATCGGGCGTGTCTTGCGATGTATCCATAAGTAAGGTAAATTGTCTTGGAATCAAAATTTATTATTATTAATTACATTTTGTCTTTACATTCATTCATAATTAAAGTTAATTTAGGTTTAAAACAATAATGATGAATTTCATAGCCTTCTATCAATTTATGGTATAATGTTTATTTGAGATATTTTATTCATATCATTGGTCCTATTTAATATTGCTAGGCACCCTAAA